TCTAAAGTATATTCAAAAAAGCAGGCCTTTTTTCTCGACTCTTAGATGCTCAGCAACTCAGCAATGTGTTTTCTCACTGTCTTTCAAAAACACTTCCCTGTTTAAAAACAGACGATACAGCTCAGAAGGCAAGGGCTAGAGAGAGGACACAGGGGAATAAATTTGTGAAGCTGTTTATGAAGCTGATGCTTAGGTAAAGGTCAGAGCCCTCAGCTTCACCTAAGCATTAGCTATTCGATCTTTTAGCTTTTCCTAAGCATTAGCCTAGCAGAACGAAGGACCAGGATAATTTTCGAATATAAGTCGTTTTTCCGTCAACAAAACCGCTAGAATAAATGATGAGGAAACAGATCATCAAAATCCCTTACGATTGCCAGTGCGAAAACAAATGTTCTAAAAAGTTTTATCACTACTTAGACGAAAATACAACACCGGAGGTATTTTTTTGAAGCAGAACCAAAAGCAGAGTGAGCAGCAACCTAACAAACTAGAAGCTTACAAATGACAACGTAAAAAAATGACTTACAAGACTTAAAAAGGCAAAAACTACATGTCATCTTTCTACTGCTACATGACATACAATGTGTACACGCATGTTGGGGGAAATACCGTTTTCGAATTTGAAAAAAAATCTCACAGAAACCAAAGTCTTAAGAAAAAAATCTTAAGAAAATCTCGAAGACATTTCATCAAAAATCTTTTTAAAGACATTAGTAATTTAAATGGTGCGAAAAAAAGGAAATTTATGCTTCTGATGTAGCGAGAATGAGAGACAACAGACGGAAAAAGCAGATTGTTAGGCAGAACGCATACACAGGTTATACGAATACTGGCATGGGAATACTCAGACGAATGTCTGATGCGCAGCTATATATATAGATAAGAGAAGCTGAAAACCACTGGAAAAAAATAAGTATCATCAGTTGTATCGATGGCGAAGGATACAGTAAAGGAGCAATGTATCAAGGCATCTCTACAACTGCTCATTGCTTTTCCCAATTTGGTTAAGTTCGTTTTAAAATTTATAAAATTTATTTGATGAGAGATGAAGAGCTGTGGCTGGGATTTTCAAGAAATTTGGTATCATTTTTGCGAGCGTCGGAAATCCAAAAAAATCCAATGCCGAGTTCACACACCTCATATTTGATGGAATTCTTCCTGCAAAAAAAAAAAAAAAAAAAAAACTATAAAAATTTATATTTTCAAACATTAGAGTAGGATTCAAAGCCTGTCCGTACACACTTTCTGTGACAGACAGAAGCGCCCGGAGCCCTAATGCTATCAAGCGCTACAGTGATCACAAGCTGGGAAGCCTGTCGATGAATACTTTGTTCAGGGGTTACTTAGAAGCAAGCTAATGATGGGTTAGACCCTCTGGAATTTATCTGTACCACCATTTTACCGTCGATACGAATGAATAAATTGTAGAAGGAATGGCCTTGTTTCATTGACGGAATCGAACTCTCGACCTTCAGTATAAAAGTTGCGGAATCACGCTACTTTGAGCAAAATAGAGAGCAAATTACACAAAATTATGCCATCTTAAATGTGCGGTGAAGAGGATCACTTCCTAAGCTCTATCGCTAATATCCTAAATTCAAAAAAAAAAAAAAATCGATAATCTGGGGACCCACCGTCATCATCGATAAACATGTATTCATCGCAGAGGTCAGCCGTCAGCAAAATATGTCCTGTTTTTCTGAACACGCCATTATCGTAAGCCAGACACATAATTGCTCGCCCGACAAATTCCGGACTTTCACCATTCGCTACCATTCGTTCAAGCTGTGCCTGTATAGAAAGAGTAACATAAACAAAAAAGAATTTCAAAACAAAGAATTCTCAAGAAATGGTTAGAATTTAAAGGACACAAAACTGAAAGAATTTCGAGTTTGATAATACTGGAAAAACAAAATTGCAGCAAGAAAACAAAAAAAAAAAAAATTGTGGAAAAATAATTTATCGTCGGCTGTTCGTGAAATAAACCTAGGCAGCCAAGTATCAGGCCTGCCTGGTTTTTTTTTTTGCCTTAAAACTGAGCAGACAGATCGTTAACAGTATGAGCTACTGCCACTGTAACTGCTGCTACTGCTGCTATTGCTGTTGCTACTACTGCTGCTGCTGCTGCTACTGCTGCTACTGTTACTGTTACTGTTACTGCTGCTGCAGCTGCCACTGCTACTGCTGTTGCTGCTTACCATGTGGGTTCATTTTGGCGGCCTTTCTTCTATCATTTTACTCAGATGGACTGCACAGCTATTCCGCCAAGAAAATGGCTTGACAAAGTGAAGTTAGTCACATTCGGCCTGACGCTAGAAAAACAAAATCATCTTACTTGAGGTAGCTTCGTAAGCTTGCTAAGCTTTCCAGATCGCAACCACTCGTACGTCTGCTCGGTTTTTACTGTACCTGGCCACAATGATACCACGGTTACTCTGTGGTTTTTTAGTTCTTCAGCCATATCAGCCGACAACCGATCGACCTGAAACACGTAATTTGCAAAATTCTACATCTTTCTTAATATTGGAAGGATTATAATTTTTGATTAAGAAAAGCAAGATAAACGTTGAATGTCTGTTAAAACCATATCACTGGACAAATATTAATTCTTGATACCTACATTTTTTAAGTGACTTAGTTCAAAATTAGGAATATTCGAGAAAACCCGAGACTCATTCAAAAAAATTTAGATTTACTTGGATTTCTAACCATAGAGTTACGAGAAAATAAAGAAAATACGGGGGAACTAAGGGAAAAATTTGCCCAAGGGAATTTCCAAAACAATAAAACTAGAAAACTGTTATCGTGCGTAGCAAATACAATAATGTTTTACCCCGGAGACCTTCCTACCCTCCCTTTCCCATCTCGGAGCCGGTGATTTCCATCGTTCAAAGTCTTCCTTGTTCCATATCTCATTCAAAATTCTGACCAGAAAATTAAGCTTCTTTGAAATTGCAAAAACTTACAGCTGCTTTTCCCACTCCATAAGGAACGTTGAAGAAAT